TGGCCCACGTACACAGAACAGGGGGTCAGCAGGATGGGGGTGAGGGCGTGGGTGTCAGGGAACAGTAACTGAGCCGCTTCTTGGCCCCTCTAGACCAAAGGCTGTGAGGCATCAGATGGCATGTATGTTAGGTCTTGCCAGCCGTACGGTCTGCACAGCCACCTCACTCTGCCCCACAGCACAAAGGCAGCGGCAAAGAGTCAACAGCAGGCACAGCTGTGCTCCAGTAGAACTCTGGTTACTGGGGCGCCAGGGGGCTCAGACGGTGAAGCGTCTGCCTCCGGCTCAGGTCAGGATCTCGGGATCCTGGGATCGAGTCCTGCGTCTGGCTCCCTGCTCGGCAGGGGGTCTGCTTCTCCCTCTGCCTTTGCCCCCCCCACCCCGCTTGTGCTCTTTCTCAAATAAATGGATAAAATCTTTGAAAAAGACAAAAAAATACAAAAAACGAAACTTTGTTCACAATCCGCACCCTCCCGCAACTGCGGCGGCAGCAGGTGTGAGCCCTGGAAGCCGAGTGGGGTAGAAGGGCTGTGCGGGGAGCAAGGATCACCCGCGAGGACAGACCTCTCAGGCTCTATCGGCGGTGACCGCCGGGCTGAGCGCAGACACAGTCGTCCGCCGAGCGGCCTCCCAACAGCCGCGAGCCCTAGCTCACCAACGGGCCCCTCGCAACCGCGTACCGGTACCAAAAATGGAAAATTCCACACATTCCCATACCTCCTCACTCCCCACCCGAGCCACAGCCCCCCAGCACTGCCTCCTGGCAGACAGTCTCTCCCTCGCTGTCCTGCCCAGCTGCTTCCTTGTATTCAATAAACTTCTGTGTCCTTCGTGCTGCCTGGGGTGAATTCTTCCACTGCCGGCGCCCCCGGCCTCCACCCGCTCAGGTCGCCCCACACCTACCAGTGGTCTGGATTTGGCCTGGGGGCAGCAGTTTGCTAACCCCTGCTCTAGACCCAAGAAGGGAGACCTTAGGAGACAAGCCACCAGCCTCCCTTAAACAGATCTCTGCTAACCCAACCCTTGAGGCTAACGATCAAATGGTTTTCTTGCCTGGTCACTGTGTATCCTGTGTACCTTTGACTCCCAGTGGGACAGCGAGGAGCTAATAGGAATGCTCCTGCTGCAGTACTTTTGACCTTCACACAGACCTATTAGAGGTTGATGAAAGCAACAGACACTTGCGCAGAAAAATGCACCTGCACACACACAGTTTGCTTGCATACAATCTCAAGGGAAGTACAGCCTTCCTTAAGCTTATTCATGATCACCCAGAGGCCTAAAAATCCTAGGGTAAGATCCCTTGCTCAATCAGAAAGAGAGTTAACTTTTTTACATATATGAAAGAGCTCTTATAAAACACTTAAAAAAAAAAAAAGATAAACAACCCTGGAGAAAAAACTGACAAATCGCACAAAGAAACAAGTCACAGAATACAAATGACCACAAAAGGGCGCCTGGGTGGCTCAGTTGGTTAAGCGACTGCCTTCGGCTCAGGTCATGATCCTGGAGTCCCGGGATCGAGTCCCACGTCGGGCTCCCTGCTCATCAGGGAGTCTGCCTCTCTCTCTGACCCTCCCCCCCTCATGCTCTCTATCTCATTCTCTCTCTCAAATAAATAAATAAAATCTTTAAAAAAAAAAAC